AAAAATAAGAACCAAGATACTCATGTAATGGTACAAGATCCCAATGATGAATGTAACTGTATTTTATACCTAAAATGTACCAATAAACTAAATGGGAAAATAAATAAATAAATAAAAACAAGAGTTTCCCTCAAAAACAAAAACAAACAAAAAACAGGAGTTTTCCCAATATTTGCAAACTTCATATGATAAATGGCAAATGTAAACATTTCAAAAGGGATTGTGAGCAATTCACCATTCATTTAAGACTTCACTGTGGCTTTAAGGCTACCCAGTCACTTAAGTCTACCAGGAAGTCACTTAGTTCTACTTCCTGTCTCTTGGCCACTTTTAAATTTTGTCTAATGGAAGATTTTCAGATTTTTAAAGCTAGACTTCCAGCTAAAAGTAACCTAAAACCTTGCCGAGACATTTTTCAGTGATTAAAAATGTTGCAATAAATCGAATTTCCCTAGTGACAACTTAAGCCCTCAATCCATCCTCACTGGTGATGTGGTACAAAGTCTCAACCCTCGTCTTCTGACCTCTCCATATATTTTGATCATATCCGCTGAGCTCAGAAATCTTACAATCGGGCACAACAGTAAATCATCTCTGCCGTACTTAATTTTGGTGTTCCAATGGTTCCATTCTGAAGTCTTTTTAAAACAGAGATAATAAACTTTATTTTGGCTCACAATTTTCACAGGATTCAGTCCATGGCTCCAAGGCAGAAAGGGCACGGAGGAAAGGTGCTCATGCTATGGCAGCAGGAAGCAAGGGTCACAGACAGGGAGGGCAGAGCCAGGACAAGACACCCTGCCAGGTCACGGCCCCAGCAACCTGCCTCCTGAAACCAGGGTCCCCACAGCACACTCAGCTAGGAACTCATCAGTGGATTAATAGATGTGCGCCCCCACGGTCCAATCACCTTCCAAACCTGTGAGACGTTGGGGGACAGTCTAGGTCCAAACCGTATTACAGAAGCAAAGGGAGCCTGGGGAGATGGAGAAAAGACCGCCTCTAGGCCAGAGGGGTGGATTTTCATCCCTTCCCACCTTCCTGAGGTTCCCACAACTTTGTAGAAGCAAAACCAAGGCTGAACTGATCTTACTTACCCCAGCCACGGTTTTTTCCACGACCATGACCTCATCGCATGAGTCTTTACAACTTGTAGGTCACGCAAACACAACTTTCAACAATTAAAGGTTTAACACTGGTTTATACAAAACAATTTTATTCTCCAAGAAGTTAGTTTTTCAGTATCTGATAGCACCACGGTCATCATTATATCCAGCAATATTTGGACCATAAAAGTACACTTAGCAGGGCCGCGGATTTAGCTCAGTGGTTTTGCCGCCTGCTGTGCAAGCGCCAGGACCCAAGTTCGATCCCCAGTACCCAAAAAAAAAAAAATTTAGCAACATGTCTTAAAAGTCTGTGCACACTTGGACCCAACTATGCCACTTCTAGAAATTTATCCTAAGAAAATAATCACATATATATAAAGAAACTAGAAAAAAACTAGAAAAATGTTCTCTGAAGGATTTCTGTAATACTGTAATGGGACACCAGAAATAATCCAAATGTCCAATAATAGGGACACAGTTAAATGAAATGGCATCCATATAATATCATACATCAAAATTATAACAAGAAATTAAATGTCATTAAAATGTCAATACATTCACAATACACTAAGTGAAAATGTAGATCACAGAGTAAGGTGAACTACGCCATTTTTATAAAGGAAATTCTTAGAAAAAAGAACACAAGAAAACCTTAGGAGCAGTGGTTATTTCTGAGTGGTAAGATTATGCTTTTTTGGTTTGGGTTTTATTCCAGGAATCTGGAATACTGGCTTTACCAGAATTATCAAAAACTGATGGGCACCAAAATGCTTGGTCCGCTGTAAGCCTAAATTCCAGAGAGAGTGACCACACTCCAGTCTGCCAGGACAGGCCCAGGTCAAACCTGTTTCCCAGGGAGACCACCAGAGTCCCTGTCACTCTCACTGTCCCCGCACGGATAAATGACAGGGCTACCTTCGTAACGGGCCCCATCATCTGGAAGGTATGTTTGCCTAAAAATGTACAAGATGCACAGAAATTTCATTTGGCTCCAACCTGATTCCAGATCCAAGGGAATCTGAGGCACATTAAGTAAAAACAAACAAATTATGTTTTGCAGAAAGGCTTCTGTCAAAACAATACAAATCCATGTCATTAGGTATCACTTCATTTGTAACTTTTTAGAGAAATGTTGTCACTAAGCTATTATCTAGTTCATCTTATTTATAATGAATTTAAATTTGGAAACATCTCTTGAAAACTGAAGAAAATCTGTCTTTAAGTACTGTGAGCGGCAAATTTAGAGGCTATTTCTTAAAAATCTATGGAATTATGGAACTATCTCCAATAGTCAAAATGCAAAAACCAAAATACCTATTTTGATTTTTAAAATTATGTTTTTATTAGATAAATTATTTTTTTAAAGTCTAGTTCAAATGTGGTTTTAGTGGTGGCTATAACTCTTAAAAGGCAAAAACAGGCCAGGGATTTAGCTCAGTGGTTCTGGCACCTGCCTCACAAGCGCAAGGTCCCAAGTTCTATCCCCGGTACCAAAAGAAACAAAAACAACAACAACAACAAAAAGGCAAAAATATTCCTAAAATATCCAGGACTATGAGTTGCTAATGGCTTCTAGCAAAGGAGTATCACCTTGTCTTGATAAAGAAAATAATTTTGTTTTCTGACATTGATGCAAATTTTAACTGAAAAATTAATGATTTAAAAATAATGTGGTTTTTCCATCTTGGAGCCTGTGAAGGCCCCTTGGGAGGAAGACTCCAAAAAAGGCGGAAAGTCTGGCAGACTGCAGCACAAGGTTATTGATGCTGGCCTGGAGCTGGACTCTCAACACCGGAGGGCACATGCAACCCTTAAAATGCAAGGTGTCTATGCCTGAGATGGGACAGGTGTCTATTTGGTCAAGCAATGTGCTTCTGTGTACAAAGCAAAGAATGACACAGTGATTCCTGACAGCAAACTGGACAAAGCCAGAGTCATCTGGGGAGAGGTGATACATACCAGTAGGAGCAGCGAGGGGGGGTCATGGAAAATTCCAAAGCCACCTTCCTACAAAGACTTGGGACACAGAAACTTTTTGATGCAGGCTCACTCAAGGATTTAAACGAAAAGGATTCACTCAAGGATTTAAACTAATGAAAAGGAGATACATAAAAGTGGACCTGTGCCTTTGTAAAAAATTAAAAAATGAATGTGTTCCTTCTGACAATACTAGCTACCTCAGAATTATGATCTTGTCTGCCCCTCCCCCACAGAAAAATGAAGTAACTGATACAAAAATGCAACCTAAATTGAGTATCACATAAATGTTTGGAATGCTAATTTTATTAGCAAAACATCTGATGTCACATGAAGTCATATAATCAATCACCTAATTTTAAAACTTTGTGGTTTAAGGACAGCAATTACAATTCACAATTTTTTTCATTCATTCATTCACTCAACAAATATTGCACATCTACAAGTGACAGGCATTGGAGACACAAGGTAAAGTTCTAGAGATGGATGGTGGTGATAGCTGCACAATATGAAGGTATTTAATATATTGAGCTTAAAAATGGTCAAATGGAGTACTCTTCAGGAATAAAGAAGGATAAATTTGAGTCATCTGTAGGGAAATGGATTCACCTTGAGACCATAATGCTAAGTGAAATAAATCAGACATAGAAGCGTAAATATTGCATGCCTTCTCTTACATAACAAACCCAAAGTATAAATAAATGTAAACAGCAAAATAAAAGACAGATAGGAAACTGAAAGAAAGACTGTGCGGAGATGGGAAGGGATCTAGGAATGAGAGAAGACGTGGAGGAGGAGTGGGAAGGGGGAAGTAAAAATGATATGTGAGATACAAATGCATGGTGAACACATATACCAATAAAAAGGAAAAGATAAAAATAAATAGTTGAGATAAATTTTATATTATATGCATCTTACCACAATTTTTAAAAATAGGTATTTGTGTGTTATTTGTATCTTTTAGAATAAGAATCTTCTCATGTTTACCAATGAAAATCGAGAGAGTGCCAATCAGAGGGCCACTGAACTCCCTCTGCGAAGGTGAGGGACAGCCCAACTGGTTTCCACAGCATGGAGATCAATGGGGACCCTGAGGACAATTGCTAGCGGTGGACAACTGCTGGTGGTGGGGGCAAGAGGAAGGAGAGAATGGGTAGAAAAGAGGCCAGGCTGCAGACAAGGAGAAGTTTGACTACTATGGGAAGGAGATGGGAGAACGGCTGAAGGTAAAAGTAATAGATGATTTTTAAAAACAAGTGTCAAAATATCATGAAGCCAAACGATCACTTCAGTGGAAACACAACTTCGTATTAATGATCTCAATAATAACAGGAATTACAGATTATAGGATTCTTCGTACTTCCTGTGGGATAAAAAATGATAATGGTAAATTACTTTCTTCATTTCGTAGTCAGTAAAACTAAGCCCTAAAGAAATTTCTCTAAGAAAATTTAAAAGGAATTGATGCTTGTCAAATAAACATACTCAATGATTTTTTTAAGGTAGCAAAGTACAATGCACTGCGTTTAGAAAAAAAATTATTCTAATAGCCACGTTTTTTAAAAAAGCTAAAACTTTAAGGCTATTGCTACACGTGTTAGTTTTTGGCACATATCCGATTCCAGTTACATCCTCAAGATGCCAAAGTCAGTCTTCTGGATTGGTGCATTGAGGGCCACGCTAATACTGAGACCCAGGACCAGTCTGGTGTCAGCCGGATCAATGATGCCGTCATCCCACAGCCTGCCAAAGAACGAAAGCAGGTTATTAGGAACTTAACCACCAAACCACCACTGAGACATGCCAGGCCCAGAAACACCAAGGAGAGCCTTGGTCAGGTACGATATGGATCACCGATGAGCACCTGGTCCCAGAATCTCACAACAGAAACGGTGTTCAAGAGTAGAAAGGAAAATTAAGCTATACTAAGGTATCATTTTTTATCCACTAGATTTTCAAAGATCTAAAAATGTGGTCCACTATTGTCATGAGTGGAGCTAAAAGAGACATTTTTGCTTTGATTTGGTTTTTTGTGTTTTTGAGACAGGATCTCACTATGTAGTTCAGTCAGACCTTGAATCCGTATGTAGCCCAGGCTCACCTGGGCCCTAGGACTCATGCCCATCCTCCTGCCTCAGCCTCCTGAGTGCTGGGATTATAGGTGTGAGCCACCACGCCCTGCTTGAAAGAGGCATTTTTATACAATGGTAGGAATGCATAACCCCTGTGGGATGTAATCTGACAATAGCTATGAAATTATTAATATATACATTTTAACTCAGGCCATTTCATGAATTCATACTAAAAATAATACTCTCTCAAGGACAAGCTGAGCTACATAGTGAGACCCTGTCTCAAAAGACCTAAGTAAATAAATAAATACAAATAACACTCTCAAGCATATGAAAACAATAATTCTTGCATTATCATTATGTGTGATCAACTTTGTGATAGCAAAATGTCAGAAATAATGTTAGCTAACAATGTAGTAGTTAAATCATTTCTGGCACATCTATTCTATGGAAAACTCTGCACACATTAAGAAAAAGCCCATGTAAGGTCTTTGAGGACTGGTCAAAAATTACTTCCAATATAATTTACTAAGGCAAAAGAAGAAAAGGGGTGGGGGGATAACATGACTTTTCCCCAACCACAGAATGTCATACTGACTTTAAGGCTGAAATCTGAAAATAATCCCTGGTTTAAAAATATTTCTACATATTCTACAAAAAACTTTCTTGTCTTTTTGTCCAGACAAACGTACAAATCATGGGGCCAGGGATTTAGCTCAGTGGTTCCAGGGCCTGCCACGCAAGCGCAAGGTCCCAAGTTCGACCCCCAGTACCAAAAGAAACAAAAAACAAAAATAAACGTACGGGGCTGGGGATTTAGCTCAGTGGTTTCACCGCCTGCCGCACAAGCGGAAGGACCCAAGTTTGATCCCCAGTACCAAAAAAAAAAAAAAAAAGTACAAATCAAGCTGTTATGCTTCTGTCATTAATACGGAAAGAGCCACATAAGCCCAGGTAATAATCTCAAGCCAATGTCTTCACTCCCCTAAATTCCCCAAAACTTTAAAAAAACTATAAAAGTTACTCAGTGTAACTAGTATTAGTATTTTATTAATAAAATAAATACTTCCAAATGTAGGGTTTTTGGGGGGGTTTTTTGGTACATTCCCAGCCCTTTTGTTACTGTACTTTGAGATATGGTCCCATTAAGTTGTTCTTGAACTAAGTTGTTCTTGAACTTGCAATCCTCCTGCCTCAGCCTCCCAGATAGCTGAGATTATTAGGTGTGCATCACCACACCAGACTCAGGCAAAATGTAAGTAGAGATTTTAGTTTGCTTTTCATTGACAACTTCAAATTTATAAAGAAAAATCAATGAGAAATATTACTTTTTAAAGGTTACAGTTTTAAAGTTACACCTTTAAAGGTGGTAGTTTTGCTTTCTTTAAACAAACTGCTTTCCGTATCTGCACATCAATTATTAAACCATTCTTCCATGGACAGACAGGAATCAAATCTTTTCTTATAAAACATTCATCACAGAGATCCTAAAGTATCAGTGGCCAATAAAAAGAAAGTGTGTAATTTGTACACAGGTGAACTGACTGCTTCCCCTTCTGAGGTCTGCAGCAGCGTAATCCTCCAAGCGTGATAATGGAAGGGCTCATTAATGATGTCCTTTAAAGACTGCTCCAGGTAAAGGGCTCTAATCAAATGCCCAATAAAGTGGAACTATAAAAACAATTAGCAGAAGCAAACTGGCAAGTTACATATGAAACATGTAGGATTAAGAAAAACACTGGAGAGGGGCCAAGGATTTAGCTCAGTGGTTCTGCCACCTGCCTCGCAAGCGCAAGGTCCCCAGTTCGATCCCTGGTATCAAAAAAAAGAGAAAAACACTGGAGGGGCTGGGCTTGGGGCTTGGAGGTATGGCGGCACTTGCCTAGCATGTGTGAGAGCCCAGGATCCATCCCCAGCACCACAGGGCCAAAACACTGGCAGTTCAGGTAGCGGGCAATGACCCAGCTCTGTGAAAGCACATGCAAGCCAGGGTATATTGTTACTCTAAGACTTACTAAACCAAGGAAGGTTCCCTGAGCCAGTCTGAAAATCCTTCCATGTTTGAGAAAAAATTGCTATCTCCCTGCACCATTTCAACAGAAGGGTTCAGCACCTACAGATTAGCAGAGAAAGCTTTCTGTCTTTGAATATTTATTTCAGAAGCTAAGTCTATATGGGTCATTTGCTCTACTGCCTTACATGGCGTCCATTAAAAGTAATAGCAATATTTGTATGAAAATAAAGGATGCAACCTTGCTCTCAACACCTCACTTTACTGTAGCTGGGCTGAAAAACAAGCTAATGGCTCACACAAGACTGTCCGTTTTTCAAAGTTTAATATTTCAACAGGCTTTGTGCAATTCAGTCAAAATCCTACGTGAAAAAAACTTGTCAGTGAGCTTACAATGTATATTTTACCTTAAATTCTCACACAGCTTTATATTGCCTCCTTGCCTCTAATGGCTAAAACAGAAGTCTGTTTGCATGATGGCAAAATGAAAATCAAAGACTATCAAATATTCTGTTCTTAATTAAATGAACTGATGACCCAACACAACAAAATACATCTGTAAATCTGTTTGTAAAAAAAAAGAATGCATTAGAGAGGGGACAGACAGACATGTAAAAAATCCCCAGTATTATTATTTGAACTCAAACTCATTATGACCTGGGAAATGAGTATGTTTAGTCTTCATACCTCAGTGCTAAGAGTGGTGCTGGCCACAAATGATGTGTTCAAATGATTTAAATGGATTCTAACTTTTGATTTTCTTTTCTCCCTTCTCTCCAACTTGCCTTCACCAGTAAATGGTATTAATCACACCATAACCTAATTTTAAGACACAAACTGCCATTTTTTTTTTCCATCTGCCCAAAGATGAAAGAGATGTGAAGTTTAGATTAGTCCTCAGGATGCAGAACATTGAAGCTGAAAACACACGCCAGCAGGTCTCCAGCTGGGGGAGGCACAGAAAATTTATTACCTCATTAAGTGGCATAAAAAACAAATAATAACAGCTTCGATGGTGTGAGCTAATTACTTGGTGCTGACATGTGGGCCCCGGCTATGACTGGTCACCTCCTGAGTGTACAAAGCACACTTGTTAACATGCACCAATTCTCGTTCAACAAATCTCATGCCTAACATGGAGTAAAAACAAAGTAATGAGAGGCGTCCACGTTTTTAAGTAAAAATTAGAATTCATTTCCTGAAAATGACACAACCAAGACTCTAACTGTCATTCCCAGATTCTAGTATGGTCCACCTCTGGCTACAAGGCCCCTCCCATCCCTGGAAACCCCAACTGACGGTGGAATGAGGGGTGCAGAATCAGACCGATGCTGATGGATCGACAGCACAGGAAAGCTGGGGAAGAGGGGCAGCAGTTTAAAGATACAAAACCAAGTGTACCCAGATATTATCTCTGATCCCTATGTAGGCCGACCATCCCGAGTACTCAGTCCTGGCTGCCAAGGGGTGGCCATCTCAGGGTCAGGGGTCCCCAGCTTATACCTTGCACTAGAATAGTAAGGGTTTCCTTCCTCTTCAAACCTCTTAATGATGGGCTCTTTCAAGGCTGCTTCATCAGCACTGGAGAACTGAAAGAAAAGGGGCCATGAGTAGGTCAGCTTCATCGGAACAACAGAGACTGCTCAGACAACCTCAAAAAAGAGAACAAATTTCATGTATAATAATGTGAAAACTATTGCTGCAGTGATATATAGATATTAAGTGATGCTTCAACATACTTGATCTCACCAGACACATAAATATCAAATTAGTGCACCACTGTATCTCCCCTATCAGAAGCAACATCCTGTGGCCATGAAGGAAAAATTGGAAACAAAGCTTTTGTAAATAAGGAGGGGAAGAAGAGTTGAAAGGAGGGGGTGGGAATGGGAAAAAAAAAGCAAAATATATCATGTACAGGTACATATTCCCTATGATGAGTTATTGTTATGAATATCTAAAATGTACCAATAAATGTTTTGCTTAAAAAATAATACAGATATAGATATAGATATATAAGGTCAAAACCAATGGTACCACACACCACTGTATTCCAGCAATAGTGGGTGAGAGTTATACAACATAACAAAAGAGCTATATCACTAAGCAGCCTCTGGTTGGGAAGGTGAAGTATAAGATGTTCATTCAAAAACAGCCAAAATTTGGGGCTGGGGATTTAGCTCAGTGGTTCCGCTGCCTGCCTTGTCACAAGCTCAAGGTCCCGAGTTCGATCCCTAGTAACAACAACAAAAAAAAACAGCCAAAATTTGAAAAATTTTAAAGCTTAGAGGGATAAAATGTCAACCACACCCTGAATAACTAATTCACCTTGAATAAATAACCAGCTTTCATTTCCCAGATAATGAAGAGATATTTTTCTTTTATTAAAATGTTAATAGTTAAACCTGGTGTGATGGTCCACACCTGTAATCCCAGCACTTCACAGGAGGCTTAGCCAGGAGGATTGCCACAAATTCAAGGCCAGCCTGAAATATACAGTGAATTCAAGACCAGGCTGAACTACATAGCGAGATCCTGACTCAAAACAAAACAAGGAAGTAGTAAAAAAATTTAAAAAGTTAATGACTTTCCTATGAGTATTACGAGGATGGAGTGATAATTCAAACATAAAAATCTTCAGAACTAGGGCTGGAGATTTAGCTCAGTGGTGCCATTGCCTGCCTGGAAAGCACAAGCTCCCAAGTTCGATCCCTGGTACCGCCCCCCCAAAAAATCTTCAGAACTTATTTTGAAACCTGGAAAACTATTTTCAACTTATAAAAACATTTTACACCAGAAACAAATGACTCATTTCAAATAAATCCTACCTTATTTTATGTAAACAGTTTAGCATTTTAATATCACTTTATAGATCAAGAATTTGTATGGAGCACCAGTAACATACTGCAGTTTCCCTTCAAAAATAAAAAGATGCATTTGAATACCTGTATGTCAATCAATCAAAGAACAACTATTTAATATCATGCTAGAGTTCAAGATATGTCTTCAAACTATCAGGGAGAATTTCATACCCTACCTTCCCCACCTCCACTACCAACCCCCCCAACTCCAACACACACACACACACACAAAAGCTTTGATAGTAGTTGTTGTTAAAGTGATTCTAAAACTTGATTTAAGTCTGCAGAGTTCCTGCTGTTTGGCAAAGACAATCAAGAATGTGAGACTCAGATAGAGATTGATTTAACCCAACTCCACAAGCCAAGTGGTAGACCAGATGACCACAAGGATGCTGCCTGAAAAGGCTGTACCTCTTCCATGTTATGCTTGCCTAGCGGAGCAACTTCAGGAACATATGACTATTATTTAAGGCTGGGGGCTTAAACAAAACAGTTTGAAAGTTACAACTAAGGAAAATTTTAAAAGAAAATTATGGCAAAATTTCGGGAGCATCTCCTACAGACACAAAAGTGGCCACCTGCTGATCTGCCTTTCCTCTAGAGTCCACTGCCCTGCCGGAGTTTCTTCATACTTTCCCCAGACACTGATGCTGGGTTCTCAGTAGGTGGTTGAGCCCTCCCACTCAAGACAGCCTTCACCACAATCTAAAAGTAAAATGGAGAAAACTGAATTCTGCTGCTTTCAGTCAGACGGTCAAGGAAATAAACGGATTTTTTTAAATCTCACTAACTGCAGGCCAGGGATTTAGCTCAGTAGTTCCACTGCCAGCCTCACAAGCACAAGGTTCCGAGTACGATCCCCGGTACCAAAAAAAAAAAATCTATCTGCAAATGACTAAGAAACAAATCTTCATGCCTTAGGCACTCACACTGGGTTTCTGAAAAATTTGTAAACAACCATAAAAAATGCCTCAAATGAAATGGCTTTAAAAAAAGAAAGACAGAAGGGCTGTCTTTCTTCTAGCTCAGTGGCAGAGCTTTTGCCTAGCATGGGTGAGGCCCTGGACTCAATTCCTAGCATCACAAAAAACTACATAAGTAAATTAACAAGAAAACAGACAAACTAGATGTACATGCCTAAATCACTATACCAGCTCCCAGGTCAGCATCTCCTACCAGGAAGGGTGAACCCTTTAGAGCTTTCAATGATAACAAACAACCAGCTGCAGCACGTGTGCCACAGTCTCGCCACCGTGACCCCCTGTGGACACAGTAGGATTCCAGATGTTCTGCTCCAGGACTCCTCAGTGTTCCTTGGTAAAAGTCAAACCCAGGAGGAGGAGAAATGTCATTTACCTGTTTTCCCTCCCGTGCTCTTTGGTCCTTGGCTACAGTGGCTAACACATTGGCTGCCTGCTCTCCTCCCATCACTGAGATACGAGCATTTGGCCACATGTAGAGAAATCTTGGGCTGGGAGGAAAAAAGTACAATCAAGTTCATTCAATACACAGTACAGAGATTTTTCAGAAGCTATGTTTTCCTTTTAAATTAGTAGTTTTGGGCCGGGGATTTAGCTCAGTGGTTTCACCACCTGCTGCACAAGCGCAAGGACCCGAGCTCAATCCCTTGTACCAAAAAAACCCAATAAATTAGTAGTTTTTACTTCCTACTGTACATTATATCATCTGAAGAATTTTTCTAAAAATCCATGCCCAAGCCAGGTATGGTGATGCCCATCTGTGATCCCAGCACTTGGGAGGCTGAGGCAGGAGGATCACAAGTTTGAGCCCAGCCTGGGCAATTTAGCAAGACATTGTCTCAAAATAAAAAATAAAAAATGGGCTGCAGTGCAAATGCCTTGGGTTCATTTTCCATAGTGGGAAAAATAAAGGTGCCTGGAACTCACTACAGACCAATTTCCATTGCCTGTATATGAAACAGGATTTCCAAGCTCTGCAGGTAGTTCATTCTGGGTCTAAAAGTGTCCATAACATCCTCTTGCTATCTGTAGCCTTGTCTTGTTTTCTCTCCTGATATTGGCTTATATGTACCTTCTTTTTTATGACTGGTACCACAAAGGGGTTATCAAGTATATTAATCTTTTAAAACAATGTTGGGCTTTCCTTATTCTTCTATCTTATGTTTGCTGTTTAATAAATCCTTTCTATCTATTGTTCTTGGGTTTAATCTGCTTTTCTTCCTGAACTGGATGTGTGGCTCAATGATTTTCAGGCTTATTTCCTTTCCAGTACAGTATATACCCTTAATGGTATAGACCTTTCTCAAACCAAGATCTTAGTTGTATCACATACGTCTTACTCTGTACTATTTTTATTATTGGCTACTTCCAGTATTTCCTGGGTCCCATTTTAGATTTTTCCAAACAGTATCTTTAGCATTAGATTTAATTTTATGCCCAGAAGATACAAATTATCAAGATTTGTGAATGCCATTCTATATCTCACACTTGACACAACTGTCCATTTGTAATTATACTTGAAGCATGTTTCTTTCAGAGAAAATCATAACCACCTACCTATAAGCTCTCCCACACATCCCGTAGTTTCCAGCCCCATAGGACCCCCCGATAATGATGGTTATCTTAGGTACTTTGGCACAGGCTACAGCAGTCACCATCTTGGCACCATCTTTAGCAATTCCTTCAGCCTCATAGTCTCTACCAACCATGAATCCTAGGAGAGAGAACAAAAATGGAACTTCAGGGTGAATGAGATTAATGAGCAGAACTCAGCTCCACCAAAGCACTGAAACAACATCTTGTCTTCTCTCGAGACTAAAAAAAAAAAAAAAATATGTGAAATATACCCAAAAAAGTTTACTTTAGAAAGTAAAATAAAATTTTCTCTCATCACTTTTTAAACTTCCTTAAAACAGTTCACCAAGATGCACAAGGAGATGTCAGACTACAAAAGGAAGCAGTCTATCTTCACGCAATCATCTCAAAGCAATGGCTTGATGGTGACAGACTGTGACAGAGACAGTAAGGAAAAAGTACTATGGCAAGCCCAACTGTGAAGGCTTTGGTATCCACTGACCTGATTCAAAAATACCAGTTCTTGGGCTGGGGATTTAGCTCAGTGGTTTCGCCACTTGCTGCGCAAGCGCAAGGACCCAAGTTCAATCCCCAGTACCAAAAAAAAATAAAATAAAATACCAGTTCTTCCAAGGCACTGATTTAAAACTGATGAAGTAAGGATGAATGTTTCATGGAGACACAAAGAGTCCCTGCTACTGACTCAACAGCAAGACTAAAATATTTTTTCCAGCACTGTGATTACAGAATCTTTCTGCTTCTTCCCCTCAGCTCTGCTGAAACCGCTCTTCAGCTGCACTGTGCTATTAGGACTTGGATGGTCCCCTTGTCACTGCAGAGGCACCAAGACACGCTGCACTTGTCTCCCTTCCCATCTGCAGGGCAGGCATTCCTCTCATCTGTGTGCTTTAACTCACTGCCTCAGTTTGTTCTGCGGCTTTCCTGCACCTCGGCAGCACCTCGCCATCTAGTTCAGTTCAGCCAATTCTGATGGTGCCCTATCCTCACTGTCCTGGCACAGAAATGACAGTGTGGCCCAACCTATCCTGCACACTCTCTGCATCCTTCTCAGTTGTCCCTCAGAGCAGCTCAGTATTCCTGCAGCTAGTGCTTCTAAGCTCCTTGAAACATCTGCACCCTAGATACCGTAAATAATAGTTTTATTCAAGTGCTTACCCCACCCCACCTCACCACCCCACTCCTCTCTGCAGATGTTCTGCCTTCAAAGAAAAAGCAGGAAGCCAGCTCAACTGACTTTCTCAACACCTCCTTCTCACCATAAGAACAACTGCACAATCATGCTACTTTTCTTCCTTTATTCTTATCTCTGTGGGACAAAAAACAATTTCACAACTACCACCCCCCCTGAGGCTTTTCTCTCTGGAATGTTCCTATTTCCACAGCTTTAAATACCACCTGCACATTCTGGTGAAGCCCACATTTTCATCCCCAGCTAAGATAACTCTTCTAAGCCCAAGATTTATTCAGGGCCAAATAGATATCTCACAGGTCTTAAATGCAGTCTTGCAAAACTAAACTCAGCCACTGCTCTCTAGCCCCAACACAGCCAAAACAAAAGCAAACAGAAAAGTTAAGTATTTTCCATGTTTAACTTACTGGTCATGAGTGATTATTAAAAATTGGATCCCTGGATTAAATTTCAGAGTTCTTTTAATCTACCCTTGTACATGGGCTGCCACCTGGATATAACCACTCTTTTTTTTTTTAGTACTGGGGATCGAACTCGGGACCTTGCGCTTTTGAGGCAGGTGCCGGAACCACTGAGCTAAATCCCCACCCCTTATTGAGCTAAATCTCCAGCCCATAACCACTCTTAAAATTCCTCTAATTGTGAGACCAAAGCGACTCCATTTTGCTAAAAGCCACTATTCCCCTAGCCTCTATTACTAATGGTTGAAATGTGCTTGCTCTGGGACAAAAGACACACTCTGTAACAAAACAAAGTTCATAAATTAATTGCTCAACCATCTGTTTGCCCAGGAAATAAACGTTCTGGGCCCCCTATTTGTAAAACAATCTGTCAATGTGCTGACCATCAGTACATAATGGTCGTGACCATTAGCCATTGTGTCTACTGACTGCCAGTACTTGACAGTCAGCTACTAACCTTTGTCCCTCTTTTCCCTCGTAAAACCTATACGTAATCACCCCTCAACCCACAATGGGCCTAGCCAATCAGAAGTATACACTTCATGCTTGCTAAATGCCAACCAATCATGTGATTGCTAAGTGGAAAATCCCCAAACCTTGCTGTAACTTTAGTAAAAACCCCACTAATTTGAAATCCGGGGCTCTCAATCTTGACCCGCTGCATCGGTGACAGTTGAGAGCCCCTGCTCGAGCTTGAATAAACGACCCTCGTGTGCTTACATCGGAAATGGCTTCCTGGTGGTCTTTGGGGACTTCGCAATCTGGGCACAACATAATCAAGTATCTTAAACCTGAGCAGACACAAGGGGAACATGTTCTTACACCAGTACTATTCAAAGCCCTGCTCGCTGTCAAGAGCTGACTCCTCCACCTCAGGAAGGCCTGATGGATCCCCACCACTGACTACGGGGCCTCTCAGTCCTCTGAACTTCAGGTAACCATGTATGACTTAGAAGACTGAGGAAAAGAATCTTCTGCTTGCCGACATATCTGACATAGTGCCTCTCTTATGTCACACACAGTGCAAAACCCAGAGAAACAGAGCAGAAAATCACAGAACTCAGGAAAGTGAACTCTAGAGCCAGAAGAGACCTTAAAATTCATTCCATCCACCATGGAAAGGTTATCTTTGGGACATGACATTCACAGAGGTGACACAACTCACATTGATCATTACATCCCTTAGGCTCAAAAAGCATAATTAGCTCAGTCATTCACATCACCAGACTGATTACGATACTTTCTCACCAGTGATGTTCTGAAGGAACAGCAGAGGAATATTCCTTTGGCAGCACAGCTGGATGAAGTGAGTACCCTATAAACAAATAACATACAAATCTTTCTTTTAAAGGGAGGATTAAGTCCATAATCATTATGCATCTCACAAAAACCATACTTTGGGTTGAAGATCAGAAGGGATAACCTTTGTCTGACCATCTACCAACAGTAACAATAACAGTACAGCACTGCCCCACTGTGAGCAGCACGTGTGATTATGGTTTGCACTATATTTATTTTGCCCAAACGCCAGTGTGACCACCAGCACATGGCTGTTGACCACTGCTGTGTCAAAGGTGAAGTTAATTTCTAATGTTCCAAACAGTAAGTGAAATGACAGAAAACTGATGCCAGTGAGAATTGCCAGACTTTACCATAATTCATTCTCTAGTTCTCCACTTGAGAAAAGGTAGAATAAAACCATTCTAGGGTATCAAGGATGACATTTACATTTTGATGATGATTTGAAATTTCTTCATGCGTCAAGATTATAGTAAAATATATATTTCTTACCTATGAGCACATGCCCCAGTAAATATGATTTTTAGATTAGGTGAGTGCTAGAGACTTGAGTTTACAAAAGTATTTAGTCTTGAGTTTAGAAAAGTATTTACTGATCGAAAAATGTAACTATTCTTTTCCTATCTTCTTCTTCTTTTTTTTTTGGTTATTTTGAGGCAGGGTCTCCCTTTGTAGTTCAGGCTGCCCCTGAAGTCACTATGTAGCCTAGGCTGGCCTTGAACTCAAAGTGATCCTCCTGCTTCAGCCTCCCAAGTGCTGGGATCACAGGTGTGTGCCACCAGACCCGGCTTCTTTCCATATCTTCTAAAGATCATGGGGACAAAAATACTCTTACAAACCATCTGCTTTACCTAGAAATGCCTTGGCAGCTACAAAATCGCAAAGTCATTATTCAACTTCAATGTGACTATGTTTACAGGAATGAGGAAATCCCATAGAGATTTGGGGTTTATATCAACAAATGAAATGTCAGACTCAGGCCAAACATAAATCCTCCTGGGTTTATTTCCACTAAGCCTATCGATAAAATCAAGGAGTTTGTCTGGCCTCAGCCAGACATTTCCTCTATTGAAATATGAATACTACATATTCATTAAAAGTTATTATTTCAGGGCCGGGGATTTAGATCAGTGGTTTTGCCACCTACTGCGCAAGCACAAGGACCCGAGTTCAATCCCCAGTACCAAAAAAAAAAAAAGTTATTATTTCAGACCCAGGCATGGTGGCACATGCTTGTAATCCCAGCACTGGGGAGGCTGAGGCAGAGGATCACCACAAGTTCTGTGAGACCTGAGTAACTCCATTTTAAAATTTTGGCCCCATTTTAGAGTAAAGGTGGCCTGGACATAAATTCTAGTTCCAAGAAAAACCACAAGATGCACTTTGGCCACCTGCCTGTGATAATGTCCAGCAGTCCCCTAGCAACTAGCCTAGCAACAGCTAATCGGTAGCTGCCTCAACGTCCCAGATGCTCTTCTTGATGACCTGCAACAGCTAATCAGTAGTTACCCCAATACCCCAGTATCCCAGATGTTCTTTTCAATGACTTGAGCAGCCGTTTGCAGTTCAGCGCGCAAGGCCCAGCCAATTAGGTTTAAACTTTTAAAACTTGCTAAATGCTAGCCAATTGTGCGATTTGCATGTGATTTGAAACCCTGCGCCTTTTCGAAACCCCGCACCTTGCTGTAACCTCTATAAAAACCCCTGGTGTTTTAGAGTCAGGGCTCTCAATCTTGACCCACTGCGTTGGTGACAGTTGAGAGTCCCTGCTCGAGCTTGAATAAACGACCCTCGTGTGTTTGCATCGGAATCGGTTCCTTGGTGGTCTTTGGGGACCTCGCGATCTGGGCACAACAGTTCAAGGTCAGACTAGGCTACATAGTAAATTCACGGCCAGCCTCAACTGTAGTAATGAAACCCTGTCTCAAAAAAACAACAGGGCCAGGGATTTAGTTCAGTGGTTTCCCTGCCTGCTGCACAAGCGCAAGGACCCAAATTCGATCCCCGGTACCAAAAAATAAAAACAAAAACAAAAAAAGGTAATTATTTCTGAAATATTTAATATTCTGAGAAATCCTCACTATATACTATTAGATGAAAATAAGCAAAGGTTCTCTATATATTGGTACCTCAGTTCATGAACTTAATTCTTTCCACAATTCTGGTCACAAACCAAACTGGATGAGAAATGAATCAAATTCAATGGTTAGGCTCAATATTGACCTTAAGGGGAAATCTGATGCCATTCTCGTCCAATTTGGATTGTGGCCAGAATCATGGAAAGAATTAAGTTTGTGAAGATATGGCAATATCTATTTCTTTAAAACAAAAACTGAAGAACCATAATAAATTGTTACTAAATTCTTTGTAACACGATTATAGGTGATTTTTATTTTTACTTCCTTATTTTCATTTTATAATTGCACTGACAGAATTGATAACAGAATATAGAAACTGGTTTTATTGATAAAATAATTCACCAAAGAGAAATTCTTCCTCAATTAGAGTTTGAAAAAGCTTAACTACCTGTTACCTGTATCAGCAAGGGACACTTTACTTCATGCATTGAAAAGGAAAGACAGGACTAAACATTTGTTTCTTTCTTTTTTTTTCCCTGGTACAGGGGATCGAACACAGAACCTTGCACGTGCAAGGCAGGCATGCACCATTGAGCTAAATCCCTGGCCCTAAACATTTGTTTCTTAAGAGATATTTTATCGAAGAAGTACATGAGCTACATTTACTCAAGGTTAGGTAAATGTGAGACCATGACATATGAAATCAAATATTAATCTGAACAATATTCAGGAACTCCCTCTTTTAAAGCCAGAAAACTAGTAATAAAGATCTACTATCTTCCTATTTCCAAAAAGTAGAGATAACATAAAATGGCTGATGGGATGGAAGGGAACAAACGGCTCACATCCCAAAGCACCTGAACGAGAAGGCTGAACCCCACTAGCTTGGCACATAGCAGAGGAGGAGATCCTTTCAGGACAGGGTTCCCCACCTTCTCAGAACATGTGCATGTCCTCTCCACTAACTGTAACTCAGGTATCTCATAAGAATTTTCCTAAAGCAAGTATATTTAGCTTTTCAGTAGTGCTGCACCTAGTGCATCATATTTCCATAAACCATCACAGAAACTTTCCCACACTGACACATGCGCACACAATGCTCTGGGAAGGCATCTGGTTAAACATGATAAAGGTTCCGTGCAATAAATGTTAATCCATTATTTGACCTTCAAAAATTAATGCTAAATTAACCCTGAAAATTACAAAACATTTTTAACAGTACTTGCCTTTTTTGCAGATTCAGAAAACAGAACTCCATTGTTTCCGATGACACCTACGGGATATCCAAATATTCGAGCAAATCCTCAAAAAAAATTCAAAATGAAAATTTTCAGAGGGCTTTTAATTCACAATAGAGGCATATTTACACATTAATTTCAGATCAAAGTTTGGAATGTAAAGATTTTATCCATAGTATAAAATAGCTCATGTCACAATTTTTTTATTTCTAAGGTAGAGAATCTGATTGATTTTCTTTCTTTCTTTCTTTGCTTCTCAAAAGGGTCATGTTGGGCCAGGGATTTACCTCAGTAGTTCTGCCTCCTGTCTCGAAAGCGCAAGGTCCCGAGTTCAATCCCCAGTACCAAAAAAAGGGGTCATGTTATAGCCAGGCGTAGTGGTACATACCTGTAATCCCAGCACTAGGGAGGCTGAGGCAGGAAGATCACTGTGAGTTCAAGGCCTGTCTGAACTACACAGTGAAACTCTGTCTCAAAAAACAAAAAACAAAAAAAAAGTGGGGGGGTCATGTTACACAGTTATCCATCTGCCACTGGCTGGTTGTTTTGGTCAAATGATTAGTAAGACTGTCATCCACTCATTTATCTGACTTATATCTGAATCTGGCACACACCAGACACCAAGGCATTCGGCCATTTAGAGGTCAAGGTCAGAGCTACTGACCAGCTTGACCAAAAATGCCTGTGTAACAATGGGCCTTTAAGATTAAAAAAAAAAAATTATCTCAGCAAAAATAATTAAAAAAAAAAAAAGCAAGAACAGTTGAGCCTGGAGGTAACAAACCCCATTAAGCCAAGAAGAATGGATCATTCCACTTTCATTCTTTGTACACTTGGATCTTTTTCTTTCTCCTTTCACAAATGTCATTTACGTGTTGTCTCCACCTCCACTACCACCCCAAACACCTGCCCTCCACAGAGAGGCTTGGAAAGAAGGGGAGAGGAAAGGAGAAACAAGGAAGAAGAAGAGAGAAAATGTTATTTTGTGAAACAGGCATTTTGGATTTCAGAGAACATAATTATTTTACAAATCAGAAGAGCTTAACTAGGGAGACCTTCTCCAGAGGACTTCGACACAACCCCACTCCTCCCTAGGAACACGTGTCCCACACTTGGAGCCCAAGCCTCCCCCCACCTGCGAGTGGGCCCAAGACAGCCTCAGGGCCCACCTCCAGCGCCAGCTGCGCCCCAAGCACCACTGGAGTTAAGTGAATGGGAGACAGTGAGCCAACAGGATGAGCTGGGCACTCAGTTTTTAAAGATGTGCTTGCTCTTTACTCCAGCATCATCTTGAGATATGGTTTCTTTAAATCATTGTATTTATGTATTAAGGTGGTAAAACAGAACACTGACTAGATGGCCACCTAGATTTCTCTTTTTCTTTTCTTTATTGGTACATTTTAGGTAACTCGTTTACATTTATCACTGAGTGTTTGTAGCTGTACATGATATATCTTGGTTCTTATTTTTTTTCCCCATTACCTGTGCATCCTTCCCTATTTACATAGATTTCATTTCCTTTTTTGTTTTTTCTTTTCTCATAGTTTTTCCTTTCCCTCTTTTCCTTTCCCTTTCCCCTCCCTTCACTCCTTTGTCTTTGGACCTTTTTTCCTATTTACCTAGATTTCTCTTTGTCCTTCAGGCCTGAAGTCCCAACCAAAAGCCTACAGTGCACATCCACTCAGAGCAGCAATTCCAAACTTCCGGGATCCAGCCCCCAACCCAACCTGACCCATCCTAAGGCCTCCCCTGCAGGCGCTCTCCCTTGCCAACCACTCAGACATCCCAGACATCCGGCCCTGCCCAGGGAGCGCCAGGCACAGACTTCCTGAGGAGGGCACAGGCTGCCACTCCACTAGGGACTCATGGAGGGAAGGTCTTCATCAGCTGCTGGCTCCAAACATGAAAGCACTTGTCCAAGAAACCACGAGGGCCTCCAGAAAGCCAGTCCCGAGGCAGCAGGAAATCCTCTCAAACTAAGGGGCCATGGAGCCGCTGAGAATTCCACCCCATCATCCTTTCTGCCTTCTCTTCCTCCCCCCCCACCCCGCTCCCCCAACCTTATTTGAATTCCAGGACAGGCAAGCAGAGCCGGAAGACACTGGATATGCTCCTCGTATTCGAGGGGACATGGTTGTCACAGTCTTTTAGCAAAGTACCAGGCAAATATATAAAAGTCGATGAGAAGAACAGCCCATCTGTCTTTAGAGAAAGCAGAAAAGCTTTGACTTGTTTTAAACCACTACACAATAAGGGTTACATCCTGCACTGCTTGGTGACAAATCCTGTCTATATATCAACCAAAAAGCTTTTAAACACTTAAAACACCTAAATACAAAAGCATAAATTCCACTCCTGGTGTGAACCTTTCTCTTGCTCACAAATCAAGTTAGAAGAAAGTGTTGAGCTTTATCTGGAGCCTCAGGGTATATTTGTGATTTGGATTTTTGGAGCTACTCTCTTTTTTTCCTATTGTGATATGTTACCTTCAGAATACTGTATTTTCAAGCTTTTTGTAACCAAGTAAAATTCATGGTATTTGTTCTGCCTTTTGCCCAAGAAAATTATATTGAGTCTAGCATCTGTCTTAAACCTTTTTCTTCGAAGGCCTACACACTTAACATCTTAGACAAAAGAAATGACTTTTATAAACATTATTTTGTTTTCCCAGGCATGGCATTCTATCCTGTGTTTCAACCTGCCATTTGCTTGATCAGCTTGAGACCAGTGGGGGTGTGAGCAGGCTCAACTCAACCTGCATCCTTCGGGAAAGCCTAAACAACAATAAAATTTCCCAGGTGTAGTGGAGACTAAAGAACAAAGGAATCAATGCTAAAATTTTCTCTTTTTTTTGTTTTTTGGTACCGGGGATCCAACTCGGGACCTTGCGTTTACAAGGCAGACGCCGGAACCACTGAGCTAAATCCCCAGCCAATGCTGGAATTTTCAAAGTAATTAGTTACAGGAGAAACAAAAGGAACTATAAATATTTTCTGCCAACTGCATTAAGAACCTTTTTATATAGTGCTACAGATTAGGACCCTTAACACAGCATCTAGCTGACCTCATTTTAAACTCTCTCATGCATGAAGCTATTCAGCTACAGAACAGTTTTTATAAAACAGTTTCTTTACAAAACTGACTCAGGCCGGGGATTTAGCTCAGTGTTTTCGTCATCTGTTGCACAAGCGCAAGGACCCGAGTTCGATCTCCGGTACCAACAAAACTGACTCATACATTTGTAGTGTTCTAAATAACAAAGTTCATGCCAAGTGTATCAAAGCCTTGAGACAAAAGATCACTTATTTGCAAAGCAGTAGAAATTCTTCACTTTCATACCTGTGACTAACGTGTCTCCATACATTGCTTTGAATTCATTGAATTTGCTTCCATCCACGATTCTAGCAATGACCTAAGAGGTAGAATAAAATGTCCCTGAGAAATTATATTATAAAAGAATTTTCACATTAAAAAATTATTTATAAAGCAAACAATTCACCATGATATTGTCACTTTCACAAACTTTCACCCTACAGCTGGGTGAGGTGGCACATGGCTGTAATCCCAGCACTTGGGAGGCTGACGCAGGAGGATCACCTCAAGTTTGAAGCCAGCCTGGACTACACAGTGAGTTCAAGGGCAGCCCGAACTGAACTACATAGTGAGACCCTGTCTCAAAAACACAAAAGAAAACAAACAAAAATTTCACCCTACACAGAAAATCTTCCTAGAATTTCCCTTGATATACATAGATAGTGTCCTGCAGTTATTCTGGGCTCTTGATTTTACACTTCACTATAGAAGCAAGAGCATCATGCTGCATACAAGAAAAGAAGCAGAGTGGGCATGAAGACTCGTCCTTGGTGAGAGGGGCATTCAGAGACTCAATCAGAGAGCAGGGCCCAGCTAGGCCTGGAGTTGGAAGACATCAGCTCCAGCTGAAGGTATCCCACACAACCTGGGTGTGTTGAGTGAGTCACTTAACGCATCTGAGTCTCAGCATTCACTTCTGGAAAAGCTGGAACAAAGTCAGGGATCTATGTCAAATGAATAGGACAGGAATGAAGAAAATAATGCTGAGCTGAAGAACCAGCTAGGACTCTCAGCTCCAACACTAGGAACTGGTCATAAAATCTTGAGCCTGTTTCTTCATATAGTCAACAAACAAACACACTTAAAAATGCTAAATAAAGCATACCAACTGGCTCTCATTAAAAGGCAGTCTTTTTCCCCCCATCCCACCTCTTTCTTTCCTTCTTTCATGTGTGTTACCAGGGATTAAACTCAGGGCCTTTGCACTGACCTACATCCCAAGCCCTTTCTATTTTTTGAGACAGGATCTTGCTAAGTTACTAAATTACTCAGGTTGGGTTCACCCTTAGGATCCTCCCATCTTGGCCTCCCTGGGTGCTGGGATTACAGATATGTGCCACCATACCCAGCTCAAAAGGCAGCTATTATTAACCCCTTAATAAATGCTCACGGATCCTAAGTCTAGTACACCTGAAGGCGCGTCCACATTCACTGTTAATCTAAAAGGAGTAGAAATGACAGCGATTACCTGAGGCTCACCACCACACACCAGGACTGCTCCAATGGAGCACGTGCTTACCGCACACAAGACTCTGAATCTAAGCCCAGAACACACACAAAAGAGTCATAAACAGGAAGTGCATTCAAAACTTCTGCAAAACTACTTTAGTCACTACCTCTCACTTTCCTATGCAGTTCACACTGCCTTCTTCTCTTTACCACATCAATCAAGGCCTTCTTTTGTAAGATGCAAAGGCTGAAAAATGAGAGGACACTTCCCAACATCTTTTTCTGCATAAAATAAAGCTTACTTTGAATTATTTTTCAGTTGTTTTCTTAAATATGAGGATATCACAATTATGTGTTTTAGGTGCTATGACCTTCAAAACCAAACCTTTTAACAATGAACAGCCATCATTTCTCCACAAGATAAAGCCACTCAAAAGGACACAGCAACCTCAGGCCATCGACTGAAAAGCCACTTCCTATCTGCTGTTATGGTTTGGGTCTAGATGTCCCCCCAAAGCCTCATGTGGTCATAGGATTGATCTAGAGTGTATGAAGCTCAAATTGATTCATGATGCAATGCTAGGCTCAAGGGCACTAGGATTAAGGGTTTCAGTGCTACCTGACCTAAGTAGTCTGAATAAGATAAAACGGACAGAAAAATGCTGTAAAATTCTCTTGTTGCCTTTGCTGCCTTGTGTGCACCATGTTGTTTCTGCTCTCCCATCCCTGTTTGTCATCCCTGTCTTAGAGACAGCTGATTATGGACTGAAACTTCAACAAACTGTAAGCCAAATAAACCCCTTCCCTTTAAACTGGGTGTGGGGTATTTTGTCTCAGCAATGAGAGAGAAAAGTAACTAACACATCTGCTTTCCAACTAACACCTACTCCCACAGAAAAGATATGAACTTACTTTTATGAGAACCTAAACTTCAGGAACACATATATAATTTAGTCCTACTCCCACTTCTAGAAGCAGAAAACAATACTCTGAGAGGTTAAATCCCAGTAGTCTGTTTAGGGCTGTAGAGGTGAACCTATGGCACACTGTGTTAGTTGTTTTTCTCTTAAGACAAAAAATGTTAATGTGAGTTGTTTGTTCTAAACTAAAACCTCAGAATTCAGGTGTAATTGCAGTATTAGCACTTTGCAATAAATAAGTAGGTTTTGGGTTGCAGTTTGGGCACTCAGTCTCTAAAAGCTTCACCATCACTGCTCTAGGGGAACAAGGATCAGGACCCAGGTTTTGCAGCTCTGAATCCAATGCCAGCTATGGTTCCATATTCTATCAAGACCTCTGTACAAAGCTCACTTGCTATTATAGAAAAATATAGTAGGGCTGGGGATTTAGCTCAGTGGTTCTGCCACCTGCCTTGCAAGCACAAGGACCTGAGTTCGAACCCTGGTAACAAAAAAAAAAATAGTAAATTATAATCACAATGAGCATAAAGCAAAAAAGCAGTCCAGACTACTATTTAAGAAGGCAAGAGTCACTGAGTATAGTGGAACATGCCAATAACCAGATGCTCAGAAGGCTGAAGTAGAAGGATTACAAGTTTGAGGCCAGCCCAGGCAACTTAGCAACACCCTGTCTAAAAATTAAAACTAAAAAGGGCTGTAGAATACACCTGAGTTCAATCCCAGGATCAGAAAAAAATGTTTGTGTGTGTTTGTGTGTGTATCTGAGGGTATACAGCTCAGAATGCTTGCCTAGTGTGTGCAAGCCCCCAGGTTAGATCCCCAGCACTGGGGAGGCGAGGTGGGGGGACTATTTCAACTACATAAAAAGTATACAGCTACTCCTTGTTATCCACAGAGGATTGGTTCTAGGATCCCCATAGCAAAACCTGCAGGTACTCAAGTCCCTTATATAAAATAGGGCAGTATTTTGCATACAACCTATGGCACGCACATCCTCCCATATAGTTTAAATCCTCTCTAGATTACTCATTATACTGAAATACAATCTAAATGCTACGTAAATAATTGTTACACTATTTGTTGGGAAAGACCTCCCCAAAAAGTCTGTACATGTTCAATACAGATGTAATTTTCTTGGAGAATATGTTTGATCTTTGGTTCCTTGAATCCAGAGATGCACAGCGGAACAGAGAACTCTATCTCTCTCCAAAACATTTGCTGTGTTCTCTGTATGGTGGAATTATAAGCAATTTATTTTCTTCTTTTGTGTATTTTCTATTTTTCACAACTAGTACATAATAATGTTATAGTCAAGGGAGTAAAGTAACTTAAAGTATTAAAGCTTGTAGCAATGAATCTCCCATTAAGATAATTTCCTTGGGCCGGGATTTAGCTCAGTGGTTTTGCCACCTGCTGTGCAAGGGCAAGGACCCAAGTTCCATCCCTGGTACCAAAAAATAAAAAATAAATTTAAAAAAAGATAATTTCCTAAATGGTATTTTGCCTGCTATGGATATTGAACAAAATAAAAGCCTACTCACTGTATAACAACACTAAAAACTGTCAACCTAGACAACAGATGGGTCATTGGAAATCTGCAACCATAGCAACATCATCAACTGTAATCAAATCTACTCCTCACTAATGTCATACTGATCTAAAAAGGTTCACTTTTTTCTTTCAACAACTTATTTCATCCACTTGCCAAAGTAAGAACATTGAAAAGAAATAGCTGAAAAAATTGTGACACTGTCCTACATAGTTCATGTCCACAGGAATATGGGTCTACAAACAAACCAGGCTGTGCTGCACAGTGCAAACTTCCCAATCGTTAAGGAACTTGCCCTTTTCTTCAGTACAGTATTTACTGTGCACTGCTGGCTCTTCCCCTGTGGAAAGCCATCTTTTCCACACCTGTCACACAGCCATCCCTACTCATGCACACGCCACAATCAACTTTAGCTCTGACTCACAGCTTTCACTTACCTCTCGGACATCAAAACTCCTCTTCAGGTTAGCACCAACTATTCCGTACAGTTCATCGGCAGGGAACAAAGGCTCTTCAGAAGGCTCCACGGTAACCTACAGAAATGGAGAACAACTGTGTTAACCTGTTCAAAGACACGATTCCGGTGGCATAAGCCAAAATGCCTTTTGGGAAGAGACCAAAGAACATATCCTACTCACATCCAATTTCTTCTGGTAATTCAGACTCCTTACAATCTTCCTTGCTAAGTGCAGGGCATGATGATCGTCCAAAGCATAGTGGTCAGTGACTCCAGACTTCCTACAGAGTAAAGCACAGTGGAATTATCAGCAAAAGAAAAAAGGAAGGAATTAAACGTCTTAAAACCCCAAATCCTTTTCTTACTAAGAATGAGAAGGAACTCTATTATTTCCAAGACACTTTAATAAATGTCATTTTATTTGATCCTCCTAATGTACCTGGCTAAAGAGATTTATCCTTATTTTACCAAGGTAAAAAATCTAGGACCAGCAGCAACTGCTTCAGAGCCCATGCCTTCCAGTTTTCAACCTTGGTCCTCTTCTGCTAGGCTGCAGGGCCTTGCTGACAAGCTTCTATTAAATGCGCATCCTAGCCAGGTGTGCACGTCTGTAATCTCATCACTCTGGGAGGCTGAGGCAGGAGGATTGCAAGTTCAAACTCAATCTGGGAAACTTAGCAACTTCACAAGACAGTCTTAAAATAAAAAATAAAAGGGGCATGGGATGTGGCTCAGTGCAAAGGCCCTGTGCTCATCCCACTGACCTTGAACAGAACTGTGTGTCCACGTGCCATCCAACAACAGACAAACACACTCTCACGTTACTGTTAACACCACCAAGTATTTGTTCCTGAGCTTCTAAATATGTCAACTACTATACAGCCTCTCCTTTTGGAGAGAATAGTGAGCCCTCTCCTCACCAAGCCACACCCAAGAGTGGCCATCACAGGTAACAAGCAGAAAGGTTTGAATACGTCATCCCCAGGGTAATGTGGAAACCACAAGTGACCAAGTGGTTCCATGAGGAGGGCCTGGAACCTCCATTCAGTTTCTAGTGCAGTGGCTGAGGCACAGGCCATTCTGGTGATGATTCTGTCCCAATCAGATGCTTTGCTATCTCACATGCAGACCTACAATGGCTTTCTAATAGAGTATTTTTAAAAATCTATAAAGTATCCAGGCATGGTGGCATAAGCCTGTAATCCCAGCACTAGGAAGGCTGAGGCAGGAGGATCTCCAGGAGTTCAAGGCCAGCCTGGGCTAACTAGTAAGTACAAAGCCAGCCTGAACTGCACAGTGAGACCCTCTCTCAAAAACAAAACAAAACTATAAAGTCAGGCAAAAATTCTGGTTGAAAAGATCAGAATTTTCATTCATTGTAAGAGTAAGGACTTAGGTGCTGTATTCCAGGTTTTGAGGCCTCATCTATGGAAACTTCCCAGCCCTTAGCAGACACTTCTCAGAGCGAGGCTATCTTGGGGATCACCTCATTTCCCATCTCTGGACTGGGTGCTCCTAACAGCAGAGACCATGTTACTCCTCTTCAGAGCTCTACAATGCCTCGAAAATGGCAGACCCTTGGCTTCTCTAATTGTATACATTCCATAACTGACTGGGTTTTTTTTCCACTTCAGGGGATGGAACCCAAGGCCTCATACTAGGCAAGCATTCTATCACTGAGCCACATCACCAACCCTTTGGTTTGTTGGTTTGTGTTTGGGACAAGGTCTTACGAGGTTGCCCAGGCTGGCCTGAACTTGTTACCTTCCTGCCTCCTGAATGGCTGGGATTAGAGGTGTGCCCCACTACACCTGGCCACTGACCCGATGTTTCAAATGCTTCACACGTAAGACCAGTTATAAACGCTGACTTCTCGCTACACTACAATTCAGTAAGAAACAGAAGCAAAAGGTAAATACTTAAAATACAATGCTTTCTTAGAAAAAATGCCTTATATTTACCAAAACAGCAGAAAAAGAAATTCTTTCATGAGACACATGAAAGTCTTTATATCCATTTAGCTCTTCAGAGTGACTAATCAGAGAAGTATGAATATGAATGTAAGGAACCTGTCAGTAATAAATTTTACAACATTACTTTTTTAAAGAAGCCATCACCACCTAATCATTTTTCCATGATTTTTAACAGGTTATTATGAACAATAATAATATTTGTACAGTGTTCAGTATGTAATAGGAACTCTGCTCTAACACGTGAGCAAATCATCTGCTTCAGAAGCCTGGATAGCCTGTCTAAGTCACAGGGGCAGTAAGCAAGGCATACAGAAAACAAATTCTGGAATCCACACCCGTAACTTCATTATACTGCCTACAGTTTTACTTTTTTTACAAGTCTAAATTTTTGAAAAATTAATACTCCTCAAATGCTGTCTTCCTCTCCTTCCCCTGATCACCACCTACAAACAGCACCTGTCCACTCTGCCCTGTCCCTCTGCTCTCCCTGCTCTGCCTGCAGCCCATTCTCTCCAGACACCCAGCCCAGCTGCTAGTCACAGTCTCGTGAGGGTCTGTGAGTGCTCACATCAGACACAGGGTGACAGGCATCTGTGCTCACCACACCAAGCGGCCAGAAGGAAAAGGTGATGCTCTACCTTGGAGCCGCAACTCCACAGTCCAAAGACTTGAACCCAGAATAGCAAAAAGCAAACAAACTATGGTTTAGTCTGGCAAGTTTAGCACTTGGAAAAAAAAATAATAATGGAAAACTTTTTGTAAACAAAATGGCAATTCTAAAAAAAATGACTGTCGCTGTTTCACCTGCAGTGAAGATCGGCACCTCCAAGCTCCTCAGCAGATACCTCCTCACCGGTGGCCGCTTTAACCTATAAGGACAACAAGTACTGGTGACTCGGTCTGTGACACACAAATGCTTCCCAAGGATTGCGTCTCCCAACCTGAGCGCATGGATGTTAGCCACAGAACACTGAAGCTGGCAAACCAAGAGACTATCACCTCCAGTCTACAGATGAGAGATCTGAACCCAGATCCCCAAGAACACGTCCACAGCCCCGTGACGGGGCCTGACTGCTCAGCCTTATGTCCTTCCACACCTAACCCCCATGGGAAGCTGCTGCATCTGCGCTCTCCGCCCACTGCCCAAGGGCCCCTGTTCCTCTCACTTCAGCTCCACGAGCTGCCCCTGGTTCCCCAGGCCCTCATCCTGGTTAATGCTGGCCTAGGGATCCACAGCACTGTGTTTACACTGCCAACATGTCACCTGCCAGACTGCACTTCAGCACTCTGCACATTTCCCTGGCATCATGAACTCCTCGCTATGAACTCCTTGGGGAAAGGAACTAATTCATTCATCTTTGAATAGTCAACAATTAGGTTGAAAAATTCCAGTTACTATCACCAACTCTATGTTATACCTTTAAGATGGGAAAAAAATCTCCAAGATTGCCTTAATCTGAAAACCAGGAGAATGTAATCAAAACCAAATCCCAAGTAATAAATCAAGAATGACTTAATTATAGCCTCGAAATTGCAATAAGACAAAGAGAGAAAAATCATTTAATACCAAATGCCAATCTGATGCCTTAAGAATTGTTTACTGGGGCCAGGGATTTAGCTCAGTGGTTCTGGTGCCTGCCCTGCAAGCTCAAGGACCTGAGTTCGATCCCCAGTACCAAAAAAAAAAAAAGAATTGTTTATTGATTCCTACTTCTTTGGGTTGGTTAACTTGTTTCTTCTTCACACAGGAGAAGTTTTTATTAGAATAATGAACATTAATCTAAAATACAGCACAGAAATGACTTATTCACTACATCAAAAGCTCTGTCTAAAAATATCTTTCCACAGGGAGAGGTAATTAAAACTTTCACCTCCAGTTATTCCACCCCCAGAAAACAATTACTGATTCTCTTCTTTCTAAAAATTTCCATGTAAAATAACATTCAGTCCAGACAATAACTAATTATAAGAGGTGTCTTGATATTTAAAGTTGTAAAAAGAAATAAACAACAGACATACTATATTTTCAGCGATCTGACTAATGTTAATGGAAAAAATAAGGAGCTGTCATCAGTTAATATCTACTCAACACCCACATCATGATACTGTGATCATGAGTGCAAAGATGATAAAAGTTACAGAAAAATTAAAACAGCTCATTCCATTAAATATCAACCTGGGAGACAGATGGAACAGGAACTCCCAAACTGATCTTATTACTCCATGTTCTTCAACCACTGTATGGCCCTCAAAGTAATGATAACTCAACCCCACACTGGGGTGAAACCTCACAGCCTTTCCTCAACTTACAGTGAAACGAATGTCAGAGTTTCAAATTCTCAAGAGAATGGGAGGCTGCTTGATTTCTCCATTAACCATGGTCTTTCAGAGTCGACCACCAAGGAGGCTCATTCTCCTATGATCTGCAGGCTCCCTGGGTGCTCGGGAGCCTCCAACACAGGAGTTAAACCTGAATCCACAGCACCAAACCCACCAACCCTGGCCCAAACCTTCCCTCTACAGCACTTAGCATCAGTCCATTATGACGCTAACGTCCTAAGAGATGTTCAAAAATTTTAGTCCTTTCTTTATTCATTTTCTGATGAAAAATAAACACAAACTACTAAAAATGTTTGTAACCTTTACTCTATACAGGTTAATTTTGAGTGTATTTTCCTCTCATTAACCAATGACAACTATCATATATAGCAAAGGAAATCTTAACAGATAGGAACACTGCAGGCCTGACTTTATCACATCTAAAATCGCCCTTAAACTGGGGCTGTAGCACTTGCCCACCATGTGTGAGCCCCTGGGTTCAATCACAGCATCACAAAAACAAATAAAATCACCCCTCTTAGCCAGGCACCACAGCACACAACTGTAATCCCACCCTTTGGGAGCCTGAGACAGGTGGATTGCAAGTTCAAGTCCCACCTGGCAAATTAACAAGACCCTGACTCAAAATTCTGAAAAATGCCCAGCACGGTGGCACATGCCTGTAATCCTAGCACTCGGGAGGCTGAGGCAGGAGGATTGCTGAGTTCAAGGCCAGCCTGGGGTACCTAGTAAGACCCTGCCTCAAAAAAAAAAAAATTTAAAAATAGGAGGAGCTGGGGATATACCTCAGCAGTAGAGCCATCTGGGTTTGATTCCTAGTACCACCACCAAAAAAACAAGAACAAAATTACTCCTCTTCAGCCTTATCTTCAATGAGTTATTAAAAATTAACAGAACTGCTTAGGAAATACACTTGTTTGTTTTATATCAAAGCAGGAACTCTTTTTTAATCAATCCGTATTTGTTTAGTATTACAAAACCAAATTTGATTCTTTGAAAGATTTCTGAAGTGCTAAACTTAGTTTTAGAAATATAATTCACATACCATAAAATTCACCATTTCCAACAACATGATTCAGTGGCTTTTCACATAATTCACAAGGCTATGCAATCACCAGCAGCAGCTTACTGCAGGACACTGCACTCTGTTAGGTGACACCTCATACTTTCTGATGGTCACTCCGCACTCGAGGCCTGCCCTGCCCCTGGCAACCACTCATCTACTCTCTGTCTCTATGAATTTGCCTGTTCAGAAGTGATGACATACAACACCTGTCCGGACCAGGCGTGGTGTCGCAAGCCTGTAATCACAGCACTCTGTAAGGCTGAGGCAGGAGGATTGTAAACATAAAGCCTACACTGTGCACCTTAGTAATTCAGTGAAGGCCTGTCTCAAAATAAAAAATAAAAATAGGCTGAGGGTGTAGCTTTCTGCAAAGGCCCTGGCTTTAATCTTTAGTACCACAAAATAATAAATAAGTCATAATTTTAAAATATAAAAAGGACTAGGTATGAAGCTCAGTGCAAAGGCCTTTGAGTCCTCAGTACCACACACGTGCGCGTGCGTGCACACACACACACACACACACACACCCTTGTCCTTTTGTGCTTGGCATAACATCCAGTCCATCCACACAGCAGCCTGTCTCAGAGCTCCATTCCTTCCTATGCCTGAATCAGAGTCCGAGTATGTGCACTGTAGGGTAGACTTTCTTTTCTCATCTGTTCAGGGCTCCAGCACTGTCTTATGGAAAGAGGTACTTGCTGTCAGGTGCATTGACTGCCTGTGTCTCTATTGCCCCACAGACAGAGAGCACACTGAGACACAGCAGGACAGGGTGGTGGGTGCCTTACTGACAGGCAGGGACAGGCGAGGAGGGCACAGGATGCCACAGCAGTCACCACAGCCAGACACCAGCAAGGCCATCCAGGGTGCCCTCTCAGAAGAGCCCTGTGACTGGGATTTATGCTCAGGGCCCATCTCCCTCTGAAAGTCTTTCACATGTGTTCGGCATGTGATGTCTGAGTGGACAATGGGGTCAGTCTGTCCCCTGCAGACATGGGTCTGGGGATGGGTCTAGGTCTGGTCTGCCCCGGCCTGTGCCTGGCCCTCCTCCTCCTCCCCATCCCCATCTGTGGCCACAGGTGTCCCTGGTGGGGCAAGGAGAGAGTGCAGGAAGGACCCACATCTCAGGGTGGAACACACAAGACCATCACTGTCCCAGGTGTGTCCTCTAGCAGGAGAGACATTCGATGGGGGTGGGCGGCAGGCAAGGGGGTGCTCTAGGCCAAAGGAGCAGAACATAACAAGGGCACTGAAAGAAAAAACCTGACTATGATATAGGAACATAGAAAAAGGTGCCACCGAAGAAAGGGACATGCTCACACCTCACTGCCCTTCATGACACTTTTTCCCACTTGTAAACAAGGAGTCTTATATTTTTCTTTTTTTTTTTTTTTTTTTGGTACCAGGGATCGAACTCAGGTCCTTGTGCTTGAGCAGCAGGTGGCAAAACCACTGAACTAAATCCCTGGCCCATATTTTTCATTTTGTACCAGGGTCTACAAATAATATAGCTGGCTCTACCAGTGGTTCATAAAGATTGCCAGTATGAGAAATTTAGAGAGACAGAGAGAGAGAGAGAGAGAGAGAGAGAGAGAGAGAGAGAGAGAGAGTGTGTGTGTGTACTGGGGGCTGAACCCAGGACCTCTGTACCCAGCTCTTTTAAAAATTTTTCCTTTGATACTGGGGATCAAACTCAGGATCTTGCACTTGCAAGGCAGGCACGGTGCCACTGAGCTAAATCCCTGACCCTAAAATTATTTTTTATTTTGAGACAAGGTTTCACTAAGTTGCCCAGGCTCGGCTCAAACTTGCAATCCTCCTACCTCAGCTTTCTAGAGTGCCACCACACCTGGCTTTTCATTTCTGAAAAATCTTTCTGAATAACTTATACATTCAAAAGGCTCAAAAAAGCCAGATGTGGTGGGGAACACCTTTAATCCCAGCCCTCAGGAGGCTGAGGCATGAAGATTGCTGCAAATTCAAGGCCAGCCTGGGCTACATAGTGAGTTCAAGCTCAATGTGGAATACAGAGTGAGATCCTGTCTCAAACAACATAAAAAATAAATAAGTGATAAAAATGGAGAGACCCGTCTCCAAAGATACAACAGATAATAAATACATAAAACTCCAATATCACTAGTCATTAGGGAAATGCTAATCAAAACCACAGTGAAGGCTAGGCGTGGTGATGTACCCATGTAATCCCAGCACACAGGAGGCTGAAGCAGGAGGACTGCAAGCTTGAGCCCAGACTAAGAAACTTTGCAAGATCCTATCTCATAAAATAAAAACAAAGAAAAATAAAAACAGGGCCAGGGATTTAGCTCAGTGGTTCTGCCGCCTGCCTCAGAAGCACAAGGTCCCAAGTTCAATCCCCGGTACCAAAAAATAAATAAATAATAAAAAAAATTTTTAAATAATAAAAACAAAGGTCTGGGGATGTGGCTGACTCTAAAGATCCTGAGTTTAGGGCTGGGGATTTAACTCAGTGGTTTCACTGCCTGCTGTGCAAACGCAGGGACCTGAGTTCGATCCCCAGTACCAAAAAAAAGATCCTGGGTTTGATGCCCAGTACTGCTAAAAACAAAAAGTGAAAGACAGCAAGCTGGGTGTGTGGGTGCAGACCTGTAATTCCAGCTATTAGGGACACTGAGGCAGGAATGGATAGCCACTTCAAAGCTAGCCTGGGCAACTTAGTGAGACCTGTCTCAATAAAAACTAAAAAGGGTTAGGGATGCGACGCAGTGGTAGAACATCCCTGGGTTCAATCACTAGTGACCCCAGTGAGATAGGATCTCACCCCACCAGGATGGCTGTAATCACACAGACACAATAACAAGTATTGCTGAGGTTGTAGGGCAATCAGGACCCTCACACTGCTGGTGAGAATGTAAACGTGCTGTGGATAGTGTGGTAATTTCCCCAAATGGTAAACATAGTTACCACGTGATCGGCAGTTCTACTAGTAGGTATATACCATATAGAAATGAAAACGGAGCCATACAAAAACGCGTTAAGTGGTCACAGCACACCTATTCATAACAGTTAGAGAAGATACAATCCAAATCCCCATCAACTGATGAATGGATAAACACAAGGCACATTCACACAATGGACTATTATTCAGCCACAAACACAAATAGAGTGATTTCTTAAAAATTAAACATAGAATACTACAGAATCCAGCAATCACTCCTGGTTATAGACCCGAAAGAAATGAAGACAGGGACTCCACAGATCTTTCCACACTCATATTCATAGCAACATTATTCACAATAGCCCCAAATGGAAGCAATCCAAATAGCCAATGATGGAAGGATGGATAAACAAGATGTGGTACAGAGACACAATGGCATATTAGTCAATCTTCAAAAGGAATGAAATTCTGACACTTGCTACCACACAGATGACCCTTGAGGACTTTATGCTAAGGGAACCAGTCAGTCACACAAGGTTCAGTGTTGGCAGTTTCTACTCACTGGGTGTCAGACTCATGGCGGGGGGCGGGGTGGGGGGGATGCTAGGATCTGGGACAGAGGTAGCAGGAACAGAGGTCAGCTCTGGAGATGGGCAGCAGTGACGGGTGCACAATAATATAATGTACCTATGCCACAGAACTGCACACTTGGGAATGATTAAAACGGTAAATTCTAAGCATGTTTTACCATACTATTTTGTTATGTATATTTAACTTCAATCAATTTGTTGAGGTGATATTCTTACCAGGGGGGGTCCTGCCAAGAAAATGGTCCCCTGCTTACGCACGATGATATTCTCGTCGGCCATCGCGGGCACATAGGCGCCGCCCGCCGTGCAGGAGCCCATGACCACCGCGATCTGCAAGAGAGACAGGCATTGAGATGAGGCTCGGGCCAGGAAGGCCGGCGTCTGAGCTCTGGGCTCAGCAGCACGCAGGGAGTGAGGATGTTCTGAAAATGCAATCTTCTCGGTGTCTGGAACAGGGTCCAGACTTTTTGCAAAAAAGCATTTAAAGGCTTATGAGACACTCACAAAGTGCATGAACAATCTTCCTATAAACAAGCAGACTGGCCTGAGAAACCTGAGCAACTACTGGTGAGAAGAAACCCACAATATACCCAACTTAGTAAAATGGCATCAAAAGGATAACTTTTAAGTCTAACAATAATAAGCCTTCTAAATAACCACCACTTACCTCATAGGACGACTGAAATAATGCTTCAAGTGGGTATTACTAATGTTTTGTGTTACTCCAAATATGGTATTTTTTAAATAAAAAGATTAACACTGCAGTTAAAAATCTTGCTCAAAAGCCTAAGTGAGCAATCTGGGACCCGAGGCAGGAGGATGCCAAGCTCAAAGCCAAGCTGGGCAACTTAATGACTTACCAAGATCCTGTCTCAAAAGAAGGGTGGGGTGGCAGGAAATATAGCTCAGTGCAAAAGCCCTGAATTCAATCCCCAGTACCAGAAGAAAAAAGAAAAATGAAGTCCAATGTAGGACCACATGCCTATAGTTCCAGCTACTCAGGAGACTGAGGCAGGAAGATCACTCCAGCCCAGGTGTTTAGGGCCAGCCTAGGCAATGTAGTAGGACCTCGTGTTAAAAGTCAAACCAAAAAACCTTTCTCAGAGGAAAGTCTATTGTGTTGGAGCTGGGTAATGTGTACAGGGTGTTCATGGTACTATTTTCTCTACTTTTGTGTGATTAAAATTTTTCCATTAAAGAAAAAGCTTTTTAAAAATTCTTGCTCAGAGATTAACACAGCACAAAGAACAATAAATATGGGTTTGGCTGATTACCCCTACATAGAAATAAAAATATCAGCAAAAGAAAAATGAGTATATAATGGATTTTTAGATTATCATGTGAAAGTAATTTCTGCTATTAATCCCAATATTCCACCAGGTTGCCTCATAGTCCTGCAAATATGCATTCTGAGAAGTAACATGCCATATACCGCTATTAAACCAACAGTGGATGCAGCGTGAGAGAGCATCTTCCCATGGGAATGACTATCACAAAAAGCATCTGTTCCTTAACTAAAGCTTTTGTATTATTAAAAGTGGCTGCAAGATTTCCTGGTCAACATATTACAGACGCATACATCAATTACTGTTTTACTTACTACCCAAAAGTTTTTGTTAAAGATATCTATGGCTACAAAAACTCTTCCCCGTGCACACAAAGAAGTACTCATTGTGGTGTGTTTATAAAAGTAAAAAGTTGCAAATAATCAGCATTTCCACCAATACAACATTGTGAGTGGATAAATAAATGTTTAAATGGATCATTTCTTTAAAATTGGAGGTAAAAGTAACAAAATGAAATGCCAACATAATATCCCTGGCCAGTGGCCCTGAATGTTCTGTCTTATTGTTCTGTGTACTTTCTAATTGTTTGAAATACTCTATGGGCCTTTTTCTCCTGGAACCAAAGGACATAATTTCACCTTATCACCCTATTCTCTGTACTAGAACACCAGGTTTCGCTCAAATTATTTCCATACCCAAAAACCAAAAGACAAGGAACTTAGAGAAGAGTGGAAAGGAAAGGAAGGAGTGAAGGACGGGGAGGGAAAGAGGGGAAGGGGGAGGGGGGAGGGGGGAGGGGGAGGGAGAAAAAGGGCACAGTGTTAACTGCCATTAGGTTGACTTCTCCCCTCTCTGGTAATGTCCACCACTTGCACATCTGCTATCATTACCTTCCTTTATGATGCCTTCCACTGTTAAGTGAGCACCTACACCAGATGGTAAACAATCACTATTTATCCATTATCCCAGCCACAGTTTTCACTCTCAATGATCATGAATGATACCAGCAAGGGTGCTAGCTGTGCACTACAATAGGTCCTCCTGCTATGGCCTAGAATTTTCTATACACAGGAGCACAGACAGAGGCAGCTCAGAAAGGGAGGGGAAAGGGAAGGAGGGAGGGAGGGAGGGAGGGTATCATCATCATAGAGCAGAACCGGAACTGAGTCAGGTGTGAAGGAACAGGCCGGTGTGTCTGTTTCCTCTTAATGCCCTTCACATCACCGCCACCCACAGTGTATTACAGGCTGCATTCAAACTTCTTTTTCTTCTTAGTTGTTTTAAAACTGGTATATGTTTGTGATGCCTAACAACTACACTCATCTTGGGGAACTGGCACACATACATATTGTCACATTTTCATCATTTTTTACCTCCCCTCCTGGCTTTCTCCTCTCCCCTCATCCCCTTGATAATACTGTTCTGGCAATTTATAAATATTTATCCATACTTATTAGCTCCCTTGTGAAGAAAAAAATCTGAGTACATGAACTCTAAGATCCTTATTCATGCAAAGAAGCAAGCCCTTCACCAAATGTCCCACACTGGGACAAGTAAGTGTTCTGGGGGCAGCAGGTCACGGCTGTTCTATAAAGGGGACAACATCAATCCTCAAGTGAAAGGAAAGAGATGGGGAACCTCCCCCATTTCCTAGGGCTGGACCTGTGGGCATGTGCATACCGACCAGGCTGGCTCAGAGACATTTGGCAAAGGAGGATGCCAGGTGAGAAGGGCCAGCACCAGAGCTGAGAGCTTTTGTCCTGAGGCTCCATTCTTATAACCAAGTCAGAGTGTTGAACAAATGAAGATGGTGGCTCCCCGGAGTCATTACTCAAGAAAGAGATGTACAGTTTACTGAATCATGAAAAATGGTCTCAAGTCACTGTCTCACATCCCACTGGTGACTCAGGGCACCCTGTGTGCAGAACAAAGGGCGATGCATCTCCCACAAAAAACAAAGAGTCACAATGATCTAAGAACCTAAGGGAACAGATTTCAAAAATAAGACCTAAAGAACTAAACAGGCATAGCAGAATTCTGTGAAAACAAACAGAGGAAAAGGAGAGGAAAGAATAGCAACTGTCAGCAGTATTCACAGCCAAGGACGGAGGCGAGAGGTGTGGGGTGGAGGAGATGGGAGGGATTATTTTGTCACAATGCCATCATACCATCTGCTTGGAATGGATGCTTTGCATCCTCACATAGCCATGTGTGGAAGCCCTGATCCTCAGTGGGATGTGGAGGCTTTGAAAGGTAACTGTGTGTAGATGAGGTCCTCAGGGTGGAGTCTCACAAAGGAACCAAGACCCAAGCATGCTGGCCTCCAGAACTGTGAGGAATACATGACTGCTGTTTAAGCCACTCAGGCCTTGATAATGCTATATAGCAGCCCAAACTGACCGAGACACCACAGGCAGAAGGGTGGGAGTGTGAGGAGGGATCTATCAGTTTAGTAGAAAAGTCTCCCAAACAATTAGCACAAATGATTAGCACATCTACTTGAGGGACTTCCACCACAGTGCTACATCACCTTCAGAAGCGTTTTCACCACAGCTCCTCTGCAGTCAAGGAGCTCAATAATACACTTTTCTGACACCTGTGACTGCATGCTAGCCAAAAGACAGGAGACTGTGACAAGCTGACTTCCAACATGGGCCCCGACATCCTGCTCTGTATTCTCCCTTGAGAACATGGTGAAGCAAGTGATTTTCCTGTCACAAGAAAACAGAGCCAGCAGTGGGGGGAACCTTCTGTGCTTAGGCTGTGAGAAGCTGTGTCTTCAGTGGTGATGAGCATTCTCATCTTCTCACCTTCTCACTTTGAAGTCAGGTGATATGCTTTGAGAGGCTCTATGGGGAAGTGACACGGCAAGGAACCTGTCATGGCCTCTGACAACAACCCAGAAGGAACCGAATGAGGCCTACAGGAAATGAATCTGACCGACAAGCAAGCTGGGACATGCTGTATCCCTCCTTGTCAAGCCCTGAGGGGACTTGGCCATGTGAGAGGCCCAGAGTGGAACCCAGCTCCAACCCACAGAACCCATGAGATCAGAGATAGGGGTTCCTACAGTGCTGGGTTTGGGGATCATTTGTTCTGCAACAACAGATAGATAACACAGAGATCAAAAATCATCTATTTTAAGCCAGGGATTCAGCTCAGTGGTTCCACCGCTTGCCTCGCAAGCACAAGGACCTGAGTTCAATCCCCGGTACCAAAAAAAAAAAAATCATCTATTTTAGGTTACTGTAACAGAAGCACCTCTGAAGACTTGAGACACCTGGTTTAGGAGTACTTTTGTATTGCTGCTCTTCAAAGATCTATCTACAAACTGTTCATTTATTCCAGAGGTGGGAGATAGATCATATACAGGATTCTGCACCATCCAGACAGGGATGAAAAACCAAGAGTAAGACATGGTTAAATCCTGAAACCTTTTGGTTAAATGAAAGAAATCCATCACAAAGGACCACTCCAGGTAAGATTTGATCTATGTGAAATGTCCAGAAAAGACAAATCCAGAGACAAAGTAGATCAGTGACTGCCAAGGGTTAGAGGGACAGGGTAGAAATGAGGAGTGACTGTTAAAAGGATGAGGAAAATATTCTAAGATTCATTCAACTCTGAACATCCTAAGAACTACTGAATTTTACACATTAAATGAGTGAACTATATAGTAAATGAATTATAGCTCAACAAAGGTGTTATAAAGTTTTTAGAGTAAAGTTACTAAATACACAGAAATCAAAATTCTCAGATGTTTTCATCAATAAGAAATAAAGGGCACAAGTATTTAATAGGCAAAACGCTTGTTGCTAAAATAAATGCTGACAATAGAGATAAAAATGAAATAACACAGGTAAGTCACCAACCAAAGACAGTAAGAAGGCTGTCACACAGTTGTCTTCTCATCAATTAATTCTGAGTCACTCATCCACAAAAGAGGACAGAACAGATGTATACAAGAAGAGTCTGCCCCTGGGTCTGCTGCTTTTGCTCCCAAAGTGAGGGATACCAAACGATACGGAAACTTCCCATGGCCCAGAGTATCCATGTGTTGTACAACAAAGACCTTACACGGGGGCCACACTGGGCAAAGGATTTGGAACCCCAGAAAGACAATTCTGCTGCACTCTCTACTATAGGGATTAAAAGGGCATACGATGCATGAGCATAAACTCTGAGCATGCTTGCAGGCTGAGATCTGGCTCGCAATGGACATACAACACAGGCGTTGTCTCAAGAAATATGTCAGGGACATGACACAGATGACATCAGGACAAAGGCGACCTTCCATGGCTCTCACCGAGAGCCTGCAGTCCACCCGGTCACCAGTTGAAGGGGGCCTGCTCTGACCTGGCTGAGCCCAGAGACTGCTCTTTCAGGGCAAAGAGGCCCACGGTGATTCCAGACTTGAAATGGGAGCAGTAAGAAGGCTGAGAATGACCTGAAACTGACAGGAACAACCTTTATTGTCACCTCCACAGATGACACATGCAAAACTTGAGTAAAAGGAAATGGGATGCTACAAAAAAGAGGCAATCAAAAAAAAAAAAAAGGAGGCAATCATCTGGAAAGACATTAAACAAAATTTCATTACCCTCCTGGCCTCTCATTGCTCCAGTTCTTGCCTAAGCAAATAGAGATCAGGTCATATTATATCAAAGACAAATTAGCAGGGCCGGGATTTAGCTCAGTGGCACCACACCTGCCTCGCAAGTCCAAGGTCCTGAGTTTGATCTCTGATACTCCCTCAAAAAACAAATTAGCAGATCAGCAGGACGCCCTACAGAAGGATCCTGACCAGAAGCCAAGGGTTTACACATGATTCTGCAAAGTTGCATGAGCTCTGGACCTCCATGCTCCTGCTGCAGAACTTCAGACAATTCTGAAGTGCAAGGGACGCTAAGATCACTTAATTAGAAGCACGGGGAGGAATACTGTTTGACCAGAAGGCTGTAATAATGTGTTTTCTCTTAAATCTCTCATCTTTTTCAATTCGAAGTAATCCCAGAAAGCAGATACTGCCTGCAGCACATTTTTCCTGTCTTTACCTGAAGAGTCACTATTAAAACTAAAAGCCACAAAATATGTCTGAGTAATCAACACCACTAATTATTCGTGTGTGTCTGTGTAAACTGTAAAAAGTCTAACTCAACCAGGACATTCTGTTTCTTCCTCAATCTTTTTATCAGACAGCCTCAATATAATCAAACAGTGATTTCATCCCTCCCAACCCTATCCATCCTTATAGCAGGTTAAAATGCACCTAAAATAATGAGATTGGATTAAGTCCCTCAGAGCAATTATCAGGGTCTAAAACAAACAAAATCAACAAGATAAATGTCAAAAATAATGAACTAGCCTGATGTGGTAATGCACACCTGTAATCCCAGCAACCAGGGAGGCTGAGCCAGGAGAATCACAACTTCAAGGCCAGCCTGGGTAATGTGGAAAGACCTTGTCTCAAAATAAAATTTTTTTAAAGGTACAGGGAATGTAGCTCAGTGGTAGAATACTTACCTAGCACTGCAAAGAAAATATTAATAATGAACTAACCCAAGGGAGTGGAGGACTAAAGTAAGGTACAAAGCAAGAACCCCTAAGAGTAATTTTTAGTACATCTGCAAACAAACAAACAAAAAACAGAAAGAAAACAAAAAAGTGAAAGGCCTGAGAAAGTCCAATTCAACCTGGCCTTGAACTCACTATGTAGCCTGGGCTGGGCTTGAACTCGTGGCAATTCTCCTGCCTCAGCCTCCTGAGTGCTGGGATTACAAGCATGTGCCACCACATCCGGCCAGAAGAAATGAACTGTTAATAACAGAAAGCCACCTTGCTGTTGATATAGTAGGGCACACAGTAAAGCAAAGAAGAGAACTGGTACAGTAGAAAAAGATGATGTACAGAAAACTAGACCATCACTAAGTTATAAAAATTACCAGTAGCGTGAGACCTAAGAAAACAAGTAAGAAGATCCCACTTCTGAAAAAGATTATACATCTCACTCCCAAAAAGCCAGCAACATGGAAACCACAAGTGGGAAAATAAAAGCAGCATATTCCAAAGAACACTGGGCGTCAGGCCACGGATGTGGAGACGGCCCTGAAGAGGGACCTCAGGACACCACAGACACCAATGGCCCCCCCTCCGCCCAGATCTCCAAACTCCAAGAGCAGACAGGGTCCCAAGGCCCAGCCTGCAGGAAAGAAAGACGCAAAGAAGAGAACTCGAAGGTGAGTAGCCAGTGTAACTGTCTTTTCTCCTGGAGAGCAAAACTAAATTGTTAAACCAGAAATTCTGTAGGAATCTGCCCACATTTTTATCGCTGTAGGAAATAACAGATATGACTGTAAATGACTCTTAGAAATACAAGGATAAATGCATTTACAATGGGCAAAGTTAACAACATTAAATAAAAACCAACTTGGGGAGAAAAACAGAGCAAAACTTAGTAAGGAAGCTAATGATCACCATCAGGACGCGAAAACAACATAAATGAAATTGTGTCTCTGTCTGTTCTGCATTGCTATGACACAGTCCCCAAGGCTGGGTACTTTACACAGTTTTGAAGGCTGAAGTCCAAGATGAGGCAGCCCCATCTGGGAGGGCCTCAGGCTATGACTCAACATAGTGGGCGACATGATGGCAGAAGCATGTGTGAGAGGGAAAGAGGTCACAGGGCAATCCAGGAAATGAGAGACAGGACAGGGCCCACTGTTACTCTTCAGTAACAGCCCACGATGGTGGGAAGGAACCACTCCAAACCCCAGCATGAGCACCTTCTGGTGCAACACTCCATAGTCTACTCATTTCCCAGCAGACCCATGTCTCAGACCCACCACCTCGGGACTGCTACACTGGGGACTGAGCATCCAGCACCAAACCTTGAGGGGAAACCACACCCAAACCAAACAGTGCAAGTCACTGATTTATGCAATGTAGTATTTTAATGATTTTATCAGTACATTCAAGCCAAAGTCTGAAATAAATAACAAACATTAAAATATGAGAAAGGGAACCACTCACTATGTTGGCTACCACTTTAACAGTTGTAAAGAGATTCCTCTTTTTTTTTTTTTTGCACTACTGGGGATCGTACTCAGGACCTTGTGCTTTCGAGGCAGGCAGTGATACCACTGAACTAAACCCCTAGCCTAAGATTCCTTTTTTAATAAATAAATATTAAACAAGCTCTATCTCAGGGAAATTTGAGATATAAAAATTACTCTGACACTCTTGTAATGTTAAGACGCTAACAGTCTAGTAAGAGAAATTAGTCAGGATACATCTAAACAGTAGAGATAAACTCAGCAGTGGTGATGCATTCCTGTAATCTCACTCTGGGAGGCTGAGGCAGGAAGATTACAAAGTTCAAGCCTCATCTGGGCAATTTAGCAAGACTCTGACTCAAAAAAAATTTTTAAAGGACTGAGGATATGGCTCAATGCAAAGGCCCTGGGTTAAATCCCCAATACCACAAAAGAAAGAGATAAAAATGCAACTCCTGGGGCAACAGTGGTGGAAATGCTCTTTATCTTTTACCTTCATGTTTGGTGCTTTTTCCTTTGAAGAAAGGATAGCAACATGATTGTTAGCTGTGAGAAAAATAGCAGATAAGAAAATAAAGTATTAAAGTAAAAGACAGAAAGGTGATAAGGAAGCAGAAGGGAGTTGGTATTAAGATTATAAATGGCAGGACTAAGGCTGCAGCCACAGGTCAGTGGTAGAGCATTTGCCTAGCATGCACACATACTGCATTCAATCCCCAGAATGCCAGATACCAGTAAAAAAAATAAAATAAAATAAGAAAAGAAAAAGACTATGAATGGCTTAGGTAGCACAATCTTTCTGGAATAAAAGAAAGAAGCCAAAGTTCATACTGGTGTTCTCATAGGAGATGGAGTACACAGAGCTTTCTCAGTGAAGCATGAAGCAATATCTAGAGTTCAGATAACAAGTTTAGAGTTCACACATTGGGGAAAGAATCAGAATAGTTACTATGGAAAAAAAAAAACAGTAGGGCCAGGGATTTTAGCTCAGTGGTTTCACCGCCTGCTATGCAAGCGCCAAGGACCCAAGTTGGATCCTCAGTACCAAAAAAAAAAAAAAAAAAACAGTAGGGAGAGTAGTATAGGATGACAATTAAAATTTTTTAATTCTCAAGAAGATAGGTAATCCTAAATCTTAAATCTCTGATTAAGTGAAACAGAAAAACCAAACATTAAGGGCTGGAGATGTAGCTCAGGGATAGAAAGTTTGCCTAGAATGTGGATGACCCTAGGTTTGAGCCTCAGCACCACAAATGAACCAAAAGAGAAGTGGTTCAAGGAAAGAAATACTGATATTAAAAAGTTTTGGAAAATATTGCAGGCATGGTGGTGCACATCTGTAGCCCAGCTACTTGGGAGGAGGACTGCAAGTTCAAGGCCAGTCTGAGCAACTAAGACCTTATCCCAAAATAAAACCACCACCACCAAAAAGGGCCTGGGCATGTACCTCAGTGGTAGAGTGCTTGCCTAGCATGCACAAGACCCTAGGTTCAATCCCTAGTACCAGAAAAAAAGAATTTAAGAAAATGAAAATAAAATAGGCAAAAGGAAGACATTCAGTGAAAATCCCATTAGCCATTGTGAATTTTTTACCATAGGCAGGTATTGCTTACTCCAAAATATGTTCACTGGGGCTGGGGATTTAGCTCAGTGGTTTCATTGCCTGCTGCGCAAGCGCAAGGACCCAAGTTCGATCCCCAGTACCCCCCAAAAAAACAAAAAAAACAAAAGTATGTTCACTATTAATTTATAAAAGATCTAATCTTTTGTTTTGTTTTGTTTTTTGGTACCAAGGATCGAACTTGGGATCTTGCGCTTGCAAGGCAGGTGGCAGAACCACTGAGCTAAGATCCCTAGCCCATAGAAGATCTAATCTTAAAGCACTTCAGGCTTCAAGTTCCACAGAAGCAGGGCCCTCATCTAGTTTTATTTACTAGCACAGGGTCTGGCACACAGTAGATATCTGTCAAATGCTGACTGATGTATTATGGTTTCCACACATAATACATAAACAAAACCACAGGGCACAGAAAAGCATACAAGGTCACAAAGGTGACTCCCAAAGACCTCCAAAGCCTAATCCCTGAACTTGTAAATGTGCGCTTATTTGGAAAATAAGGATTGTAGCCGGGGATTTACCTCAGTGGTTCCGCCACCTGCCTCGCAAGCGCCAAGGACCTGAGTTCAATCCCCGGTACAGAAAAAAAAGTTAAGGATTGTAAGACACAATCATGCGGTATATTTCCCAGGTGGGGCTTAAATCCAATGACAAGGGTCCTTGTAAGAGAAGAGAGAAGACACAGGAGGGCACATGAGGAAGGTGGCAGAGACTGAGGAATACAGCTACAGCCAAGGGAGCCCCTGGAGCCACCAGAGGCTGGAAAGGTGAGGACAGAGTGCCCCCTGGACTCATGGCCCTGCCACTGTCCTGACTTCAGACTTTGCACTTCCAGAACTTGAGAGAGTAAAGTTCCACTGTTTTAAGCCATGCAGTGCTGGCTATTTGTTACGGCAGCACTAGGAAATTAACACAAGGTCAGATATGTACATTATAATACAGCACCATATTAAATAGGCTACGTAACATGACCTGAAATGCACATCCATCACCTAACACCCAGTCTTAAATAATCTTGACATGGGGCCAAATGTATTTCCGATCTAGACTTCTGATACAGTTGAAGTCCCTCTATTCCTTTTCCCTGACCACTCTTTCTTCTCCCTCCCACCTCAGAGGCAGTGCTGGTCAAAGCTGAGTGCAAATCTGGGACAGCACTCTGCCACAGAGCTCACCTAGCATGCGAGAGACCCTGAGTTTGACCCCCAGCACCACACACACACACACACACACACACACACACACACAAATAAGTTGAGTGTATCATTCCCAAATGCACATTTATACACAAACAACATACAGTTAAGACTAGATGTGCCATAGGAATTGGATATAAATTCTATTTTCTT